GTCACCGCTTTTCTCCAAGGAGATCTAGAGGATGAAATCTACATGGAGCAGCCCCCGATGCTCGAAAAACGTCAGAACCGTGCGATGGTATGTCGCTCGGACAAAGCGTTATATGGACTCAAGCAGGCGAGCCGAGTCTGTTGGATTCGATGCTGACGAAGTTTGGCCTTACTCAGGCGAACTATGACCCCTGTGTGTATTATCACATTGATGGCCGGCGTATTCTATTTGTGGCAGTCTATGTTGATGACGTGATAATATTTTCAAACAATGATGATTGGATCGAGCAAGTCAAGGTGTTCTTGAACGAAAACTTCTGGATGAAGGACTTAGGCGAAGCTAAGAGCGGCTTGAGCATACACATCAGCCGGACTAAGGATACCGTTGCGTTAGATCAAGAAACTTACCTTGAAGCGATGCTGACTAAATTCAACATGTCTAACCGCAAATCAACGGAGACACCAATGACCGACAAGCTTAACAAAGAAATTTCACCAAAAACCCCGGACGAGACGAACCAGATGGCCAACATTTCGTATCTGGAAGCAATCGGCAGCCTAATGTACTTGGCTCAGTGTACTCGACCGGATATTCTTTTCGCTGTGAACCAGCTTAGCTGTTAAAATTCAAATCCAGGAATGCAACATTGGAGTGCTGTCAAGCATTTCAAGCGTAACAGCTATGGCAGCTGCTAGCTCACTCACAGAAACTAACAACAGCAGCTAGTAGGGGAAAGATTCAAACACTAGTTTGCGAGGGTGAGTTAGCAGTTAAGACAAATCGTCGATTGAAGTGATTATTTATATAAGCAGATAGGTCAATTTGAATAATTACGCTTGATTTTTCCGTTGCCTACGTGGAACTTCGAAAATGAAACTGGTGTACAAGAAGGATGATCTGGACGATAAGAAATCAACAAGTGGTTACATATTCAAGCCACAGGGTGTAGCGATTTCCTGGTGCTGTAAGCGGCAGCCTACGATCGCTTTAGCTACGTGTGAAGCTGAGTGTAAGGCAGTATCCGCAGCAATTCAAGAAGCAGCGTGGGGGAAAGGATTGATGTCACAATTCCGAGCGATTGGTTCGATCAAGATCCTTTGTGACAATCAAAGCACAATTGCTGTTGCTGGTGGTTATAATCACTGAAGAATGATTATGTCACCTCTGAAGACCAGGACTCACGAAACCATTAACCTACATAAAGCTGAGCAAGAATCATGAAGCAATAGGAATAATAGCTTAAGGAGGAGTATTAGAATAGTAAGCTATGACTCCTATTGACGAAATAAATTTCTTCATTCTGTTATTGAACGTCGAATGAACAAGTCGTATTCTCAATAAATGTAATGATTTATAATTTTGTATGTAGAAACGGATTTATGCTATCATTAGTTGTGAGATTAAAGCTGACTGGCTGCATAGCGAATACAATCACCATTGCAACAGTGCTACCAAATATTAATATCAATATCTACAAAATGCTGAATTTCAATTGCCACCTGATGCTAGTATCAGTTCACACAGTTAGAATATCAATATCATTCGCCTCAATGTCAGTGCGCAAATGACATTGACATTGTATAGGGACCACTTATATTTATTGATTTTTATCCCAAGTAACATTGAAAGTTTTATCGAGGTTTTAAAGCATGTTACAAGTTTAAATCATGGTCTACAGAACCCTAATAAAATCAAAATTGTTATTTGGGATGGTATGTATGCCTCATTTTTTTTTCTTACACCGTACCTTAGTACCGATCTTTACAAAACTCATCAGTAACAGGAGAAATGGCTCTAATGTTGGCCTATGGATCTAGCAGGGGTTACACAAAAAAGTCGTTTTTAAAGATAAAAGTAGGATTTTCAACGATTCCCTAGTAATATTCATATGGATAGTAATGTCAAAGCCGTAGCACCTGCAATCATGCCTACAACGAATATTAATGTTGGAAGTGAAATTCAGTTTTAGACCAATATCTTTCGTCAAATAATATTATTGACCGCACACAGCACACACACAGCCAAGTATACAAGTAGTGTTGCTAATTGCTAGCGCTTTTCCGATCATGCTAAGGATCTGCATCTCTTCACAGCATATAGCGCTTTTATCATTCTTTGGTTTTTTCAAAGCCCTTATCACACATTTTCATGATTTGAAACCCATTGGGTGCTTGATTTTAAAAATGTGATCATAATCACAAAGTATAATCCCATAGATAAAATGGCTCAGATCGATTAGGGTTTAGAGTTTGGAAGGTGATTTTGGCAAATTACTGATGGGATATTTTAAAACTTCACTAATATCGCATTACCTTTGGTTCAAATGGTCAAAATGCTATCCAAATTTAATATATGGTTGGTCATTGAGGTAGCTAATATTTAACTTTAACATCATTTGGACATGTGAAACCAATGAATGTTAGAGCGATTCAAACTTTAAATCTTTCGCGTGACCCCTAAACCAGCATGCACACTCTCATATTATTTGGTTGTGAATCAAACTGGTGCTGCTGAAACGAAAACAGGAAAAACAAACGAGCCAAAAGGACCAGGCTTTCACTTTTAACCGAGTTGCAGTTAACGGAAGAACGGCCATACCAAACCATACTCATCATTTCTCCTCAAGCCCATAGCTTCTGGTTCTGAACAACAACATATTCAACTTCTGTGTTCCAAACATCATTCCAGCAATTGTAAACAATTTGCTGAGTTTTTCGCTTTCCGCAGCTCACATTACTGCTACCGTTTTTTTGTGTTGTTGTTGCTGTTTGCATTCACTTCAAACGAGCGACAGGAAAAAAGTTTCAACTGTGTGTATATTTCACTGTAATTTTTTCCCGAATAGACGAAGAAAGCATTACTCATCGCGAACTGTTTGCCATCACAGAAATAGCAAACAAAAAGCATCCGCGAGAACGAACGGTTGGCTCAGTCGAATTCTCAGGAAGTGAAAGCATGGTGAAATGTGTATTATAACTTTTTGTTTCAATGCCCTTCTTATGACAGAAGAAAAGCCGAGCTAAGCACAAACGGAAAGTTTCGCTTTTCATGATAAACAGAGAACTTTTGTCGTTGTGCAAACTGGTTCTACCTGGCCGGTACCGGAATCTGATGTAAGAGTAAATAAAGTCAAGGTGAAACAAATGTCTCAAACTGCTGGCGGTTTGGTAAACTTTAAAGAGGTTCCTGCTTTCATTTGATTAACAACGTCCAAAGGCGAATTTGTTGAGCGACAATTGTATATATTATGCAAATAGTTGTTATGTCACTGCAAAAATGCGGAAACCATTTCCATTAGCGTCCAGAAAAGACATTTCTGTTAATTACTGACTCGACTGGAGTCCAAACATCACATCGTCGTCGTCACACCATTAGCCTCCGATCGGTTGATGCTTTTTTTTCGGCTGCGAGATAGCCATTAATCAAATAACAATCGAGACGGGGTGTTGTCAGCTAAAGGCCACGCCATCCGAAGATTTTTAGCAACCCTAGAAACCCTTTGAACTACTAAACCAGATGGGGAGGAACGTCAACGAAAAGACATCGAAGCTACAAAGCTTGCGCCCGGGTTGAGGCACACATTGTTACATCACAAACTGCCCAAACTTACATGGTGGTGCGCATTTTATTCGTCGTCTGGCAGTTACTATGTCTGGCAGCTAGGTACGACCATCGATGACAACGACGGCGCGGCGGCGTCCAAAGCCAACCGAAATTGTCGATTTCACATCATGCGTGTTAAAAGATCATCTGACTCAACTCCGGGTGAGTTGGTGGTGGTGAGGTGGGTGAATTTGTGGCTTATTTTATAACTGTAATCGCTCACTCTGGGTGAAAATAGGGCTTGGAATCGAATGCGCATCGAAATGGGACATTCATGACGATACTAAATTGATTTTTGCGCCAAATTTGGTTTAGAAACATCAGCGTTCTTTATTTCGTTACACACAAACAAACAGCCATTTTCCGATCTCGTCAAGCTGAGTCGATTGGTAAATGCACTCGACCCTGCGGGCTTTGGATCGAAAGTAAGTTTTGGCAAGCGATATGTAGGGGAAATAGCTCTAATGTTGGCATATGTGTCTAATGTTGGCCAATTTTACACTTGAGAACGCTCCTCTTCGACATCTCAACCGCTCGTGTATAGATTCTTACTTCCTACATTATGGATCTAAGATTGGGTCCATCGCTAAAAATCTGCCATTTATCAATTTTATCTAGATGAACGCGTCATTTGGACGGTACTAATAAATATTCTGGGAACTTTGGTCATAGGCTGACAGGGAGGGGGGGGGGGGGTTTGCTTCGGCAAGCCTGAGCGTCTGTTCTCCAGGAGGAGCGGCTCACAACAGCGTCTGTTCCCATGTTAGGGGCGGCTGATCTACGTCCGAGTGCCAGTGAAGGACTCTAAGCACAACTGTGAACCCTGGTCCTCCGGAAAGTTAGGGGGTTGTTGTCAGTCCCAGCCGTAAAAAAAGCATTGCAACGGAAAATCAGCAACAGAGGAATACGAACCGAGACCAACGGCAACGACCCCAGCGACGAAATAGGATTTGCGATTGGAAACTCGGCACGTGGAACTGTCGATCTATCAATTTCATCGGGAGCACCCGAATACTCGCCAATCTACTGAAGGACCGCGGATTCGGCATCGTAGCGCTGCAGGAGGTGTTTTGGACAGGATCCATGGTGCGAACGTTCAGAGGTAATCATACCATCTACCAGAGTTGCGGCAACACACACGAGCTGGGCACAGCTTTCATCGTGATGGGCGAAATGCAGAAGCGCGTGATCGGTTGGTGGCCGATCGACGAAAGAATGTGCAGGTTGAGGATCAAGGACCGATTATTCAACTTTAGCATAATCAACGTGCACAGCCTTCACTCCGGAAGCACTGATGATGACAAGGACGCATTTTACGCGCAGCTCGACCGCGAGTACGACCGCTGCCCAAGCCACGACGTCAAGATCATCATAGGAGACCTAAACGCTCAGTTAGGCCAGGAGGAGGAATTCAGACCGACGATTGGAAAGTTCAGCGCCCACCAGCTGACGAACGGGAACGGCCTACGACTCATCGATTTCGCCACCTCCAAGAACATGGCCATACGTAGCACCTTCTTCCAACACCACCTCCCCTATCGTTACACCTGGAGATCACCACAGCAGACGGAATCGGAAATCGACTACGCGCTGATTGATGGACGGCACTTCTCCGACATTATCGACGTCAGAACCTATCGTGGCGCTAACATCGACTCTGACCACTACCTGGTGATGGTCAAACTGCGCCCAAAACTTTCCGTCATCAACAATGTACGGTACCGACGCCCGCCACGGTACTATCTAGAGCGACTGAAGCAACCGGATGTCGCCTTAGCATACGCGCAGAATCTCGAGGCAGCGTTGCCAGAGGAGGGCGAGCTCAATGTGCCCCCTCTAGAGGACTGCTGGAGTACAGTAAAAGCAGCCATCACCGACGCAGCCGAGAGCACCATCGGGTACGTGGAAAGAAGTCGACGGAATGAATGGTTCGACGAGGAGTGCAGAGCAATTTTGGAGGAGAAGATCGCAGCGCGGGCGGTAATGCTGCAGCATGGAACCCGACAGAACGTGGAACGGTATAAACAGAAGCGGAAACAGCAGACCCGCATCTTTCGGGAGGAAAAACGCCGCTTGGAAGAAGTGGAGTGCGAGGAAATGGAACTGCTGTGCCGTTCCCAAGAAACACGGAAGTTCTACCAGAAGCTCAACGCATCCCGCAACGGCTTCGTGCCGCGAGCCGAAATGTGCAAGGATAAGGACGGGAGCCTCTTGACGGACGGACGTGAGGTGATTGAAAGGTGGAAGCAGCACTTCGATGCGCACCTGAATGGCGAGGAGAACGTAGGCACGGGAGACCAGCGCAATGGAGGAAACGACTACGTCAGTGCAGCAGAGGACAGAACTGACCCAACTCCCACGCTGAGGGAAGTTAAGGATGCCATTCAGCAGCTCAAAAACAACAAAGCAGCTGGTAAGGATGGTATCGCAGCCGAACTCATCAAGATGGGCCCAGAAAAGTTGGCCACCTGCCTGCACCGGATGATAGTCAGGATCTGGGAAACAGAACAGCTACCGGAGGAGTGGAAGGAGGGGGTAATCTGCCCCATTTACAAGAATGGCGACCATTTGGAACGTGAGAACTTCAGAGCGATCACCATTTTGAATACCGCCTACAAAGTGCTATCCCAGATCATCTTCCGTCGTCTATCACCTAAAATGACCGAGTCCGTGGAAAGTTATCAAGCCGGCTTCATCGACGGCCGATCGACAACGGACCAGATCTTCACCGTACGGCAAATCATCCAGAAATGCCGTGAATACCAGGTCCCAACGCATCATTTGTTCATCGACTTTACGGCGGCATACGACAGTATCGACCGCACAGAGCTATGGAAAATCATGGACGAGAACGGCTTTCCTGGGAAGCTGATCAGACTGATCAAAGCAACGATGGACGGTGTGCAAAACTGCGTAAGGGTTTCGGGTGAATTATCCAGTTCATTCGAATCTCGCCGGGGACTGTGACAAGGTGACGGACTCTCATGCCTACTCTTAAACATTGCTCTAGAAGGTGTAATGCGACGATCCGGGCTCAACAGCCGGGGTACGATTTTCACGAAATCCGGTCAATTTGTGTGCTTTGCGGACGACATGGACATTATCGCAAGAACATTTTGAACGGTGGCAGAACTATACACCCGCCTGAAACACGAAGCAGCAAAGGTCGGACTGGTAGTGAGTGCGTCACAAACAAAGTACATGCTAGTAGGCGGAACCGAACATGACAGGATTCGTCTAGGAAGTAATGTCACGATAGACGGGGATACTTTCGAGGTAGTGGAGGAATTCGTTTACCTTGGATCCTTAATGACGGCTGACAACAATGTGAGTCGTGAAACATGAAGGCGCATCATCAGTGGAAGTCGTCCCTACTACGGGCTCCAGAAGAAACTACGGTCAAAAAAGGTTCACTCGGAATTTTCGAGCGACGTGTGCTAAGGACGATCTTCGGCGGTGTGCAGGAGAACGGTGAGTGGCGGCGAAGAATGAACCATGAGCTCGCTGCACTCTACGGCGAACCCAGCATCCAGAAGGTGGTCAAAGCCGGAAGGATGCGGTGGGCAGGGCATGTTGCAAGAATGCCGGACAACAACCCTGCAAATTTGGTGTTCACTACTGATCCGGTTGGCACAAGAAGGCGTGGAGTGCAGAGAGCACGATGGGCGGAACAGGTAGAGCGTGATCTAGCGAGCATTAGGCATGACCGAGGATGGAGAGCGGCAGCCGCAAACCGAGTATTGTGGCGTACTATTGTTGATTATGTCTTATCTTAAATGTAATGTTGTACAAATAAATGTATGTATGTATGTATGTAATAAATATTTTTGGTCGCTATTGAAAATTTAACCGATTTTTGAATTTATGTATGGGCCCAAATTAGGGGCATTTAGGCTGACATTACATCCATTTTCCCATACCCTTCTTTGTAAGAAGGGTAAACAATCCCAGAATAAAAAAAAATGCAGATCTTGAGCTGATAAAATTTAGGTCTGTTCCCGTATTTGCTTGTTTGCTTTGCTGTACGTTGCTGCAGCTTTCTGTAAATTGCTGTAAGAAAATCGTATGCTGCAGAATGTACGGTAACATACTTAGTATTTTTGTTGTACATAATCTTACAGAAAATCAAGTATTGGAACTGACCTTTTATTACGATTCTAGACATAGAATTCAAGATTCTAGTACCTCAAAAATTCAAATTTTCGGATCATGAAAAAATTTAAATTTTAAAAACCTTTCAAAATTTTGCCGCTTCAGAAAATTATAAAGATTTTTAACTGACAGAACCCCAAGGGTGCAGACGTGCTGTGTCACAGCATCGCCACGCAACTTGCACCCTTGGGGTCTGTCTGTCTGTCTTTCTGTCTGTCTGTCTGGTCTGTCTGGTCTGTCTGGTCTGTCTGGTCTGTCTGGTCTGTCTGGTCTGTCTGGTCTGTCTGACCCGATCGGCATGACAATTTGTATGCAGGGGTTTTTGGGGCCTGCATAACTCGAAAACTAATCAAGCAAATGGAACCAAATTCGACATGTGTAGGTATAAGGAGATGGTTATAGGGGGTAGCCTCTTAGAGGTGGGGGCCTACGTACAATAAAGTATGCTTTTTTTAATCGGCGCATAAATTCAAGCTAATATTGAAACACGAGCAAGTCCGGGCACACTCAGCTATTATATATATATATTAGCATGAATCATCATTATCATTTTTTCAAAACAATGTTTTTTGGTTCCATTTGGGGTCCCAAACAAGTGTGCAAAATTTGGGGACGATTGGTTGTAACCCGGCTTTCCGCATTGCATTTGAAATTTGTATGGAAATTAGTACGGGAAAACCTACTTTTTTGCATCTTTATTACTAGGAACCACAATAAATACGTTAAAGTATAGTTCAGGAAGTGCCTAACAACTTTGCTCAAAAATGTATTGTGCTAGAAAGCCCCTAAAAAAAAGTTATACAAATGAAACAGAAAAATATAGCATGCTTTTTTTAATCGGCGCATAAACTCAAGCTAATATTGAAAGGACCAAAGGTCGAATGGTCTAATTTTTTTTTTTTTTTTTTCCTTTGGTTTTGTTTTTTCCGTCGATCTTGTTTTCCGTGCTGAGCACCAATGCTACCGACGTGCCAGGAAGACAGCTCCCACACCTGGACCCTACCTATCGACCCATCAACTCATGAACCGGGGACCAACGGCTTTACTTCCCATCCGAAGGAAGGCGTGATCAGAGATGTTATGCCTCAGAACATCCCGGCGGCGCCGACTGGGATTGAACCCAGGCCTGCTGGGGTGAGAGGTAATCACGCTTACCACTACACCACCGGCGCCGTTGAATGGTCTAAAGCAGAGTAAATATTCTGAAACTGAAAAAAATGATTTTATATTATATTTGAGTCGAGTATTAGTACAAGACACTGAAGAAGTCTGCACATTGTAGACGAAATACGCGTATCTGTCAAGGATAAGCAAATAAAGTAGTGGAATTAAATGGAAAATACAAATCCTTCTCTCTCTCATTATACAGGTATTCCACTAAGACGCCCACATTCATCAGGATTCATTATATTTCCTGTTTAAATAGCTGCTCGTTCTTTAAAATATGGTTATCTAAAAAAAAATAGTCATAAGATTTTGATCATTTATCCGTTGAACGTTTTGTCCTTTCGATCTTTCGACATTTTCTAATTTGAACCTTTTGTCCTTTGGACCTTTTGTCTATCCACCATCTGTCCTTTCGAACTTTTGTCCTTTCGATCTTTTGTCTATTGACATTTTGTCTAACGACCTTTTGTCTATCGACCATTTGCCTATCGACCTTTTGTCTAACGACCTTTTGTCTATCGACCTTTTGTCTAACGGCCTTTTGTCTTTCGACCTTTTGTGTATCGACCTTTTGGTTATCAACCTTTTGTCAATGGATCATTTGTCCACAGACCTTTTGACTATCTACCTTTTTTCCATCGATCTTTGGTCTATCCAACTTTTGTCTATAGATGTTTTGTCTTTCCACCTTTTGTCTTTCAACCTTCTGTCCTTTCGACCTTCTGTCCTGGCAACTTTTTGTCATAGATTCGTGAAAATGTTCAAAAAATGTCAATCGATCTTTGGTCTATCGACCTTTTGTGTATCGATTTTTTGTATTTCGACCCTTTGTCTTCCCGAGTAGCACACTTCCTTTAAGAAAAGTTGCAGCAACTTGTTTATGAATGAAATAAATCGTGAAGAAGTTTCTACAACCGGTATGTGACAAGCGTGCTACTAGGGTTTCGACCTTCCGTCGTGTCAACCTTTTGTCATAGATTCGTGAAAATGTTCAAACATTGAGTTTGAATTGACGGTTGGATTTATATTTAACGTTTGGAAAGTAGCTTCCACAGACAGGCTGACATAAAGATACTTTACCCCAATCGAAAACGATTGGGTCGTCAAGCGTGCAATGTCCCCCTCTAGCTTGACGCCTATGCTAGCAATCCAAAGAGCGTGTTTTTCTTACCCCACTCAACAAGTGTTGGCTGTTTTTCATGATCAATCGCTTATCAATATAGTATTGCTCAAACTGACGAAACACTTGACTAAGCTGGGTTCCAGATTTCGTCATGCTGCTACAAGAAGATCATACCAACCAGCCCCAAAACGCTGCCAAAAATGTGTCATCATCGGTGATCACGTCACTTACCGCACCAGTCCACGACAGTAGTCCGACCCCAAAACGACGACGCAACGACATGCCACCGATCACGATCGCCGAAGCAAGCGACAGCAACGGCAAAAAAGGCATGGAGGCTCAACGTGTGTTTATTTTACTGTTTAAAAGTTTTCGGTTCCACCGAAAATGAAACCACACACACACACACACACTCGCACTCACATCTACCCTTCTCCTCCCCTGGAAAAGTTTCACTTTTCCCGTCTTTGTTTGCAGCAAGCCCAAGCGCAAGCTTTTGCACAGAGCGAGGTCGCTGGATGGCAAGTCACACAATCGATTGTGTCGGGGCCGAAACGAAAGTGAAACCTCTCTTTTAATTCGGCAAGCGTGTGATCCGAGAGTCATTCGATACTGATATAGGTATGAGATGGATAGTCTCTATGTTGGCCATATGTCCCATACAATCCAGCGAGTAGATCGATTCGACTGTCTGGTCGTCGATCATCGTGCGCTGGATGCGATGTGGCGTCTCTGTTAGTGTTGGTGATGGGTGATTTTGGTGCTGGACGGGTTTTATGTAATATTTTGGAAAGACCTGCCACCAGACGGCACGAAGGCACATGGCTGGTGACATTTTCGATTTCAACTTGGACGGTGATTTTGGTGGGTTCGATTTAAAGCCAAATGAATGACGCCACTTTGCTCGGCATGTGTTTGTGTATAAGACCTATTATTATAATAGATTATGAAAATTCAGTAGCAGCATTCAATATTAAACTGAACTTAGACTTTTTGAAGAAATTTGTTTGATTTTAGAAAGTTTGTGTCAAGATTTGATCGATTTAAGTGTCCATTATTTCCCTGTTGGCGCCGCCAGGATGTTCTGAAGTATAACATCTCTGATCACGCCTTCCTTCGGAAATTTGGCTTAAAAAATTAAAGAGGGATTTTTTCCTTGATTTGCTTTCAATAGATCTTGTTTTCCGCACTGAGTACCAATGCTACCACCAATAATATATTACGGTATTTTGACATCAAAAAAGGCGTTTGTTATCCGTCAGTTTTTATAATAACTAAATTATGTATTATTTCGATATTCGTAGAACATTGTTTATGCTGGCATTTTACCTCTTATGCCATGCTCATCAATGCCATGTTTAGGTTGCCAGTTATTCTATTTCCATACCTGGAATTGGTATTCATACGTTATTTTCTCCTGCTCGGGATATGAAGCCTCTTATAGACGTCTGTTTTCCCTTAATTGGTGTCATTTTGTTTTTTCATGATGTTTTTTTTTTCAATTCAGCAGCCTTTCAGCAATGCCTTTAATTCAGCATTCATTTAATTGCAGCAGCCCTTATAATTCTTCGAAGCCGCCACAATCCACGGTTGATAAATATGCTAGAAGATCCCACGCCAAGGAATAATTTATATTGGTTGAAATACTTTTTGGTCTACCTTTAAATTTCATGTTTCAATATATTTTTCTTTTTTATATATTCTCCCTCCTTGGCATATTTCAATCGAGTAATAAAAATAAAAATAAAAATATTAATTTGTTCCGGCCTAAATGAAAAGAACCAAAAACCATGCTTAAAACGTATGAGTTAGCACAAAATCAAGAAGGACCAAATCT